GGTTTGACTTTATTTTGACACATTTTTATTTCTAGTTTTCATGTATTGTTTTCAACCTAGTTTTTCACCCATTTATATTCAGTTTTTGGAAATGCTCACCTAATGCATTTTTTTTGTTTGTTTTTTAGTCTATTTTCAAGATATGTCTTTAGATTAAGTATATCATGCATGTACCTTTAGTTATGTTAGTAGTTAGGCTAAAAGGTCTATGTTATTCTCATTTTTCATGGTTTATTTTCAACATTATTTTTGTCCCTATTTTGTTTGGTCTTTAAGGGTTGGTTCCTATAGGTTTTTTTGTTCCATTTTAAGTTTATTTTAAGTTTGTTTTAATGTTTCCTTGCATCTTATGTAATTTTTCATTGCATCATGGTTTTTAGGTTCATTTGGTAATCTATTTCGCTTTTTTTTTTTTCAATTACTGTGTAGTTCAATTTGGCTATTTCCAGAAAATTTTATTTTTAGGTTTTTATTTAAGTCTTGTTTATGTCATTTGCTACCATATAGGTTAGGTTGCATTTTTTAGTTGTTCAAATATTAGTATTTTAGGTGTTTGATGAAATGCCTACTTGGAATTTAATATTTCGTTTTCTATTTTAATTTTCAATTTGGATAGCTTTTTAAATCTAGATGCAATAGTTAGATGATATATTTTAGGTTATTTTCATGTTTAAATCATATGCATTTAAAGTCTTACATGGTAGGGTAGCGTCTATGTTCATTTAGCGCTTATTTCTAAGGTGTTTCACTTTATATTTTTGTCTTCTTGCTAGGTTTTAGGTACTAATTTTTGCTACTGTTCCAGGTTCTGTTCCTTCCTTTAAACTTGCTAAAATTGATCTTTAAATTGTGCCTTTAACTTGCCTCTACAATGATGCTTGCATGTATGTTTTTATGTTAATCAAATTAAGCCTCATTTACATGTTTATTTGGTTTTAATTGTTGTTAATTTTAATTTGTATGATAATTTAGATTCATAATTTCATGTATTTGTGTTTATGCCGTAGCCCAAATACCATTTAGTTCATTTTAGGATTTTAGTTCCATGCCATTTACCTTTTTGTTTATGCATTTAAATGTCATTAGGGTTTAGGTTACTATTTAGGGTAATTTGCAATTTTATTTCTTTTTGTTCAATTTAATTTCATATTGTGCATGATTAATTATTGTATTTTACTTTTATAATTTCTATGATTTAATTTAGAACCTTTTTATTTAGGTTTTAGAAACTTTCCTTTTTTTATCAATTTTCTATTTTAAGTAACTTTTCACTTTTAGTAAGTTTTAGGATTAATTTAGGAATTATCCATAATTTGTTAGTAATTAAGGTTAAATTTCATTTGGCATAATTTTTAGGTTTAATTAGTTGTTAATGTAAGTATAATTTAATTAATTTAATTTAATTAAAAAAAATCCCTCGTCGATCCAAATATATCTTAGTCTAATTTCAATAGTTTGTCCTAAAACTCAATTCTTAAGAGATGATAATTCAGAATACTTTCAATCTATATTATTTGTGTGGCCTATCACTTGCTGTACTACTACATGGCCAACATTAGCAACTTTTTTTATAATTTTATCATTGGAATATTCAAAATTTTATTTTGAAATACAAATATGATGCACATGATAAATTATAAAAATCTTTTATTGTAAAAATGATTTCTAAAACGCTTCAATTTTTTGATAAAATTTTGCTAATCAAATTTATTGAAAGCTTGTAGAAAATATCTTTTAATATTTGATAAATTTCTTAAACACTTAAAATTCTTCTATATTTTTGTAAGATTTTATTTTCAAAATTCAATTTTTAAACTCCTAAAATCTTATAATATATTGGTAGGATTTTTATAAATTCAATTTTTTGAAAATTCATTTTTTGTAAAATCCTTCAATATTTTGATAGGATTTTTATGAAATTAATTTTTAAAAAATTTTTATTTATAAACTTATATAATTCTATAATATTTTTGTAAGAATTTTATGAAGTTAATTTTTCAAAAATTATTTTTAAATTCGTATAATTCTTTAATATTTTGATCAAATTTTATTTTTAAAAAATTATTTTTTAAAAACTTATAAAATCTTTTAATATTGTGGTAAGATTTATAAATTTTATTTTAAAATTTTATTTTAAAAAAGTTCTTAATCTAACAAATAAATCATAAAAAATAAATAAAGAAATGGAAATAGGAAAAATACCAAAATTCGGCCTAGTCAACGAAGTCAACAGCCGGTTAACGGTTTAGTCAGCTTAGTCAATGGCTTGATTCAGTGAAGAACGGATCGATTCACGGCTAGGTTCACGGCTTGACGGCTTGAAATGGGCTCAACAGGAAATGGGTCACGTTTCAGGTCAAAATGCAGGTCGAAATGCGTATCCTCTCCGCCGGAAATGACGTCGGATCTTGTTTCTTTAAATAACCGATTATCCTAAAAACCCCTTTTTGAATCCTCTTAACTCCATATTTCTCTTTTTCAAATCGAAACACCCTAAGAATCAGCTAAACACGCTAGATCTAACGCCAAAACAATTCAAGAAATCTCCTAAAAATTGCTTGCCTTCCTCGAAAAACAACCTACACCACCAGTTAGTTTCCCTCCCCTTTGCTAGTCTAGATGACACCCAGAAAGCCTAAAGAAACAGGACTCAAAAGCTCTAAAAGAACTTACTTGATAGTTGTTCTTTTCTCAGTATTTTCTCTCCGTTTTTGTCGAATTCTCTTTGTATGTATTGTGATTGAATTGAACTTGCTTATATAGGTGTCTTTGGAGGATTTTAGGGGTTGTAATGAATTGTAGAGATCAGATCTGCCACAATCAAATCCACTTCTACTGAGCTTATGGTCTCATCGTGATCCCTTTCTAAAAACCGATTTGATTTTTGTCAGCCTTTCCTTCTGCTTGCGATTTGGTTTTCCTTTTGTCATGCAGATTTGATTTCTATGGTTGATTTCCAAGATTTTGATTCATGGGATTTTAATTTTTTTAACAATTTCCTTCACAGAGCAAAATTCAATCAGTGATATTCTTTTTTTTTCATTTTTTTTATCAATTTTGTTTCTGGTTTTGTTAACTTTTTCGAAAAAAAAAAAAAAAATATATATATATATATATACAAACTAAACCCAAATTAAAAAACCTAAATTAACAAATTTAAAGCCCAATGAACAATAAAATTGTCCAAAATCAAGAACCAAGATCCAACAAATATTTAGAAGGTCCAGAGATCCAAAAATGAAACTCAATTAGTAAATTTAGAAATGGCTCGACGGTTTTGAAAGTCGAACTTAATAGAAATTCGAATTTGAATGAATCCAAAATTAAACTAAATAATTACGTTAACATTTGAACTCAATGTAATTGAAATCATCTTCACAAATCAATTGAAAGACGTTGAACAAAATAAGATGTCTAAATATTTAAGTTTTTAATATTAAAGGAATGAGTCAAATAAGACTTAGTTTCATTAATGCTATCTATATTAGTGCCAAATTGTAGTCTAAATATTAAAAGGTTATGATTTTTCAGAAAAAAAATGAATTTATTTAATATTTAAATTATTTATTTATTTAAGATGTTAAACAACTTACATACTAAATAAAAAAATAAAAAAATAATTTAACATGCAAAAATCTCTTGTTTTATTTTTTATATATTTCATAGTATCTATTCCATATTCTAAGTTGTTAGCTAATATAGATGTATATTGTTTATTTATTTAACAGGTAAACTTTTTATTGATTTATTTTATATGTAAATTGTTATGAAATTATTTATTTATTTAACATGTAAAAATAGCTTTATTATATAAAATTTCTTTATGTCATTATCTATATATATATTGGACCCAGTGGGTCTGACCCTTCCCTACACCCTACACATGACGGAAATTTTACGCACTTAGCTATCTTTTATCTTTTATTTTGTGAAATGAAATAAATAAAAAAACCACTCTTTTTTTTTTTTTTTTTGTCATTTTAAGAGACAAAAAGATAATATAATTCAAAAAAACATTAAGGGCAAATGAAAAAAATTTTCTCTCTCCCTCCTAAATCTAACAAAACCTTCGAAGGTTTCTAATTCCCTTTACTTTTTTTTTTTTTTTTCTGACGCTGTTGAAAATATAGTATAGCTAACGCAGAGAAACGTTTTCCAGCCAAGTTAAAAAATTAAATTACAAAAAATAAAATCCATCCGCCTCTTTGAGAATTTTTTATTTTTATTTTTTTATCAAGAAAGTTGTAATCTGAATATAAAAACGAAACTATAAATGTTAAAATTTAAATCTTATTTTTTTAAGAATAAGCCATAACTCAAAAGTTTAAAAAAAAAAAAAAAACCTAAAATTTAAACTCTCATCTTACTAAAAATGTCTCTTAAAAGTATCAGCACGTGGAACCAATTTTGGAATTGTTAAGACCTTATTTTGTATCACATTCTCCCTGGATTGTTCGAGGAGTATTTCTTGACTCGCTATATAAAAAAAAAAAAAAATCAAGGTTTTACGTGCATTCGTTTAACATGTGTTCAAATGTAATTATTAGTCTTTTTTGTCACAATGTAATTATTAAGGTAAGTGAAATACTACTTTGAGAAAGTTTTCATTTAATGCACTAGTTCAATAAAAATTAATTTTTTAATAAATATCACCTTTTTTTTGAACGGGTAAATTTGAACGGTGTGCAACAACCACGCTGAAATAGGGCTGCTGGGGCTTCATGATTGGACAATCGGCGGAACATTTAAGGTAAAGAGTGATCCAAGTCTCACTGAAAGCCTAATCAACTAATCAAAATAAAAACCAATTTACTACTACATGAACCAAATGGCTGCTTCGGCGATCAAATCAAAAGCTACAGAAAATCTAAACCAAATGATTATAGAGTAGGAGAATCCATAGAAAGTGATGTCATTCACTCTCACTTCACTCACGAGGCAAACATAAGACAGACATTAAAAAGAGATGCTATTGCTACACAATTCCAAGGTAACTGCAAAAAACCAGTTCCATTTAATGCAAATTAGGTTCTTAAAAATTGATAAGAGGAAAAAAAAATTGCAATGAGGAAAAACAAAGAAAATATAATAATATAGATTACACATATTTCTCACAATCAAAACCCACAAAATGCTACACATTTATATATAGACGCTTCTCAGGGTAAAAGGTATTAGGGTACACACCCAATATCCTTGAAGTACTCATGCTCAAGAGCATTTCTTGCCGTAATTCTTTTACTGGGATCCATGCGAAGCATTTTCTGAAACATAATAGTTGAATGTTTCAGTTAAATTACAGAGATGTTCTTAATTTGTGTATGAAATTATTCCTTAGTGATCATCAGAAATCATGATACGTTAAAGCTCACAAAAATGGCTCTATATCAAAGAAATGGATGAGAACGTTCAAGCAACTCTTTTCTAAAATTTATTAAGATCAGCCAATTTGAATATGATCTCAAGCTGCAGTGAGACTGGACTAATATAATCACTAATATACACAAACAACTGAGATAATAATCCAAAGTCATTCATGTCCACCCTAAATCTGACAAAAGCATACCAATCACCTAAATATTTCTGACCTTGGCGAAAGAAAAAAATTGGGATGTTACTTCAGCTCACAACTCATAAGCACTAAGGAAAGATATTTTATCTTATATAAATCCCACTTTGTTACTTTATAGTTACATAGTCAGGTGAAGCAAAAATAAAAAGACACCAAATAAATACTTACAGAAAGGAGGTCAATGCCAGCTGATTCAAGATTTGGAACAACAGTAGCCAAATCCTGCAAGTAAATGGTGTATCGATTAATTCATGTAACAATATTTTCTCCCTAAGAGGTTGATGACAACATATCACCACTAGATTCCATAAACACAATTCTACCTTAGGCGGCCACTTTGGAAAAGCAGACTTAAAATCAGGCAATGAAGTCACCCCAGGCCATGTATCCTCATTTGGAGTACCCAAGATTCTTCATATAAAAACAATAGATCAGTCTAAAGAGAATGCACAAGTTTTTAGGAGCAAATTTCCACTGATATTTTCCTACATGCTTCATGTAGAAGGCAATATTTTATGTTCAATGAACTAAAGAGCTCCATTTTCTTTGTACATACATGTAAAAGTTATGCGTGGATGTTTGGCAATGTAAAATACTGATAAACAACCATAACAGGCCCATTCCCAAGGAGGAGGAAACTAAAAAAATAAAATAAAAAGAAACAGATCCAGTGGTCAAAATAAGAATTTTTAACATAGTTCATATCTTCTAATGCCATATAACTCTTCTTTTAGTTTTAGTCACCAGAGATGCAAGTTGCAGTCTGGCAAAATGGAAAACAAGTACTCATGGTTATAGCAATGCATAGTCTTGTGCACATAAAGAATGAAGACATCAAATGTCGGAAGAGCAAAATTGTAAGACTTGTAAAAAAATAGAGAGAAAGCATAGTCACGCTACCTATTTAAAATTTATAAACAGTTCCCTCAAAGAAAAACTAAAAAGATTTTGCCAAGTTTTTTTTTTTTTTTTTTTTTTTTTTTTTTTTTTTTTTTTTTTTTCTCTTGTATAAGCCAATATAAATTTCAAACAATTCAGTTTAGTTCATCTTTTCCAAATTCAACCCAAATTTAGTGCCTATGTGGACCAAATGATGCAAATTTTTAAAAAATAAGTTTTCCCAACATGTGAAAGGGGAACAAACCAGGTAAGAATAGACATAAAAGAATAGAAATAGAGATATTTAACCTTGCTGAACCCAACCACCAAATAAGGGACACTCCTTTGAATGGAATATATAATACCATCAATGTCCATGTCTGTTTAAACAAAAAATTGGCTAGCCACCATATAAACTTATTTATACATTCAGGTTTAAGGACAACCATGCTCCCTGCATATACATACTTAAACAATAGTCTAAAATCATTTATGAGTTAACATTTGAATAACATATCAAATCTTCCTTCAAAGACTATCAGAGCAAAGACTCTTAATAAATGCACTGAAGGTAGATGCTGAAAAGAACTATAAAAGAACACCAGAAACAGATACATATAATAGTTACAACTTCCATGGAGGGAAGGAAACCAAAATAAAATGACTGCAACAACTTTTTAGAAAGGAGAGTACAACACCTGAAGATCTTGAACAGTTCATCAATCTCGGAATCCCCAGGAAATAATGGCCGCTGGTTTACCATCTCAGCAAATATACAGCCCACTGACCACACATCGACTGGAGTAGAGTAATGGCGGGATCCAAGCAGTATTTCTGGTGCTCGGTACCACAGTGTAACTACCTAGAGATAGCAACTACTTTTAGAAGCCAGGCTAATATCTCTATGCTTTTGTATTGAAAATATTAAGCATGCAGGTAAATTAGCCAGGCTCTATTTTCCTAAAACATTTAGGGCATATTCAACTAGAAACCTACTCACCAATGCTCTAAAGGGATCTAAAACTGCACTAGAGACCCCAGAGCAATGGAAATCCTGAATGTAAGGCAAGGGAAACTATTTGATGCAACCAACAAATCTTAGTTGCACATACTCTTATCTTTTCCTACGTCAAGCATTGGAATTTTCTTGTCAGTAAGTAGAAACAAAATGGTTTCATCCTGCAGAAATGCAGCAAGGCCAAGGAGTTTTTTTAGCAAATTGAAATTTCCTTTTTCCAACTTGTAATTGCTTTTTCTTTGTACAAGGGGAAGATATAATATTACTTTTGAGAGATTGATATACTATAAATGCCTGACACAAGATGGGAATAATCAAGCATTAGTAAGACAAGTGAACAGCCAAAAATCTAAAAGGCGGCATTTTTGATACCTCATGCGTAAATGTTCTAACAGGTATACCAAATGCTCGGGCCAGTCCAAAATCAGCAAGCTTTAGTGCATTGGTACGGCGATCTATCAGCAAATTTTGTGGTTTTAGATCTCGATGAAGAACCCTATGAGAATGACAATAAGCAATACCACGGAGAATTTGATAAAGGAACATCTGCAAGATGATCAAATAACAACATTACGTTTATGAGTAATAGTATCATCACCCAAATTCCATTAGACAACCAAGGTCAACCAAAGACTGATAATAGCAAGGTCTTATTGCATTCAGATGAAGATGCAAAACTAGAATACTGTAATTAATACGGTAAGGAGAGGGGTTGTGCAATTAGACATCTCTTGAAGAGAAGTTCCAAAAGCACTACATTTCTGCTTTGTTAAGCTCAATATTTTTATACAACACATAACAGGGGTGAGATGGCATATTTATGGCTTCCCCTGAACACTTGAATGAGAAGATTGCAGATAAAAGAACTACAACTCCTCACACTTCAGAAAATATTTGTAAATTATCTCTACTAATAAACAAAGAAAACCTACAGTAACCATCATATTAAGTCTTTGGACAATGGGGTGTGATAGTTTAAAGCTGTTAAACTCCAAACAGTGTGGTAACTTTTATCCATATAAACCTTCAAACAGAAGAAAAATCTCACTCACTTTTATCATTCGTGGATCTTTCCCAAATTCTGGACATGAGTCCATGTGCTTCTTCAAATCCAAGTCTAGATATTCGAAAACCAAATATAAACGTTTCTCACTGTGCACTACATCCTGCAACCTGTCACCCGAAGATCAATCAGAGAAGCTGCCTAACAACCAGTTACAGCGAATGTATACAAGAGACAAGAGGAAGTTAGCACATGGTCCAAAATATGACCTTGGTTTCAAAATTTTCAGATCCAAAAAAGCCAATGCATGGGTTTAGTTTAACCAACATATGTCAAATTGCTTCCTTTAAGAAAATAGAGCAATACCATCATCTTCTTTCTGCTTCCAGAAAAGTATGGTGTTGCTGTTTATTATTATTATTTATTATTATTTCACTCAATAATTGATTCACTTCATCTTATATTAACGTGAGAGAGCTGCATTTAAAAACTTAAAAATCTTTGCAGACAAGATAAGCATCAATAGCTAGCATGACTCATGTTGTCTTTAAAAATGTATCATAAGAATGCATTCGGTAAGTATGCAGTGAATACAGAGTAGCACAAACAGAAAGCCGAATGGGTTCAAAGTGGTGAGCCAGAAACAGCAATGTTATAAAAGGTAACGGACAGTTAAGTTGTGCAGTGCATAGCATACCTAACGATATTTCCATGTTGCATTTCTTTCAAGAGAGAAATTTCTCTAATTGCAGTACTGGGTACACCCTCGTCCTCCTGCTCCAAGCGAATCTTCTTCAAAGCTATTGTTTCATTGGTGATGCGGTCACGAGCCTTATAAACAACGCCATAGGTTCCTTCACCAATCTTCTCAACTTTCTCGTACTGGAAAATTGAGAAAAAGCATAAATAATGGAGCAAAATAAGAGGTAAATTGAAATGACAAGGGTTGATTCACTAACCTGGTCCATGTAGTGACTGCAGCCCCAGCAGAAGAAAAGAAATCAAAATCAAAGTTTCAGAAATAAATAAGCTAAAACTAAAAGGAAAAAGAAAACACTTAACCCATCTCAAACATGAATCTAAGCAAAAAAAGAAAAGAAAATCCGATTAATCTGCAATCACTCTAGCCCTTGAAAAGCTTTATGACATGGAATTGCAGTTGAGGTTTAAACCAGGAAAGCAAAGCAAATGAATACCAATCCATCGAAACATAAAAAGAGTAAAAGGAAAATGCAATGAGAGAAGAGAAAACCAACCTCAAAATGAGAAGGATTTGACTCTGAGTCACTCAGTCAGTTGAGGAGAGGCTGCCTCTATTTCTAGTTTCTATTAGAGTGTGAGCTGCTGCTCAACATGAACCCTAAAACCGAGACCCATTTTGACTTCTACCCTTTAATTTTTCTACCCAATCTTAGTAGTAATTTATTTACTATATCTGCGTATTCTTTTTTAATGGTTAAATTTTTTAATGCTTAGTAAATTCTACAATGAAAACTTAGTGAAAATATTTTAATTAATTAAATTAAATATTTAGTTGGTTAAACAAATTTTATCAAAAATTTATTAAAATCATTTGATAAATCAAGATGAAAACACGTAATTTAACCAATTTATATTCAATTACTTATAGATCACCTAATTAAATTTTATGTATGAATTATCTTCGTTATTTTTAATTAATTTAAAATAATTAAAGATAAAAATCAAAGTTATTAGAAGAGAAATCCTAGCCTCATTTTCAAACCTTCAAAATTTACTAGCCATCTTTCCAAGTTTTAGGTGATCAAATTGTTCAATTTGTCTAAGCCATTCAAATCCAACCAATCTCCAAATAAATAACAAGTATTCTCAACCATTTCTTTGAAAATTACTCAAACCATCTCAAATTCAAGCAACCAACCAAAAAATCATAAGTTTTTAAAGATCTGATTATTTTCACTAGTTTGTGATCAAGCTTTTGCCCATGAAAATCACTCATGTTTCTTCTCTACAATAAAAAAAAGTAGTTTTAAAGATTTTCCAATCACTCCATTTAAGATTAAGCTGAAGCCTTTGATCACTTTTGCTTTTGGGGAGATTAAATCAAAGATTATTTTCTTATAAGAAAATATACAAAGAATTGTACTTAATATTTGATATTTATAAAAATTAAATTTTGTCACTTCATTTGTGTTTTAGATTTTCGAACACGAAATTTGTGTGTGCAAATTTCTTGCACACCCAATGACAACTCAATGGCTTTCATTTCTTCTCATTCAATAATCAAGCGAATCACTTTGTCATATGATCTCAATGAAAGATCTCTCTGCTCAAACAAGTTGCATGTCTGATCTTGCAACAACCTTTGCAAGGTTCATTGGCTTATTGGTAAAGGAACTTCAATGTCAAACGAAGATTCTAGCTTTCCACCAATAATGCCATTAGATTATTTTTTGAAGTCAGATCATGATCATTAGTTCAACTACATAGGATGAAAAATTTGTCGAAATGGAAAGAAAAATGTTTGATCTTGTTAAATTGATGGAAGAAAAATGTATGGAAATTGCAAAGCTTAAAAGCCAAATAAAAATGCAACAAACAATGAGCCAATAGATGATCAATTTCATCTTTCAAGTTTGACAATAGACAAGTCAAATGTAGATTGTTTTTAACAACCACAAATGTACAGATCACACAAGTAATACAGGTGGAAAGTATTTCAAATATCATATTTTCAGGGATTAAGGGATCTATCAAATGGATAAGTACCAATTTTAACACTTAAGGTAAAACTGGTAAAGCTAAAGTTTTTGTGATTTAATTATTCTAAATTAATCTAAAAATTACCAAATAATTAAACTAATTAATCTACCAATTATGGAATGGCAAGTACTAAATGGAAAGTTTACTAAAAATAGCAGTTATTAAAAATAGCAAGTTACTAAAAATAGAAAGTTGTAAATCCTACAATTAAATTAACAGCTTTAAAAAATGAATTAAAATTTAAATTAATGAGACAAAGGGCTAGAAGTCAGAACCAGGAAGCAGCAAGTGAAAACCAAAAGCTTAATCTAACAAAATCTCAAAGGAAAAATTAGTATCCATTTAACAATTGACCTAATTAAATGTCTAATCTAACCTACCATACATGAGATGTCTAAAACAAAGATTAAACATGAGAATGACTTAGGAATGCAGTAACAAAATGACCTAAAAACATATTTGAAAAGCCTTAACACTAAATTACAAATCTAAAATGAAATGACATTAATTTTCATTCAAGCATTTTATCGAACACCTAAAACACAAAATGCAAAACTCCTAAAATAACTAGCGTAAATACTAATGCATGTAACCGGACTTGGACTTAAGCTATTCTAAATTAAAATAACATGCAAAGTGTTGAAAAAGACACCTAAACTATGACTGAAATGCTTAAACTCCTAAATGAAGCTAAAGTGCCATTTAAGCTACTTAAATGAATGGGAATGTAACTCTAATGTATTTCAAAGTGAAAATTAACTTATACAACTTAAACTATGCACAAAATGGAACAAAAAACCTATAGGAAACTAAAAGTAGAAATCAGCTCAATTGACTAGAAAATTAAAATGCAAATCATAACATTAAAATGCATGTAACTAAGACTTAAGAGCTAGAAATAAATGAAAACTTCCTACGACCTAATGGAACTGTAAAACTAAATGACATGCCTTAAAGTAGACCTAAAAATGAACTAAAAAGCTATGTGACTACCTTTAAAAACTAACAAAAAAACTAAGAAAATATAGTGCAAACCATGAGGATGAAAATGGCCTACAACTAAAACCTAATGGGATGAGTGTTATAAAAATTAAAAATGCTCTTGTGCAACACTAAAACTAAATGCACAACTTTGAAGTAGACTTAAAAATGACAGAACTTGGGTAAGGAATTCAAAAACTGAACCAAAATGGATAAAAAAAACTAGGTTGAAAAGTAGTTGAAAAATGCATGAAACAAAAGGCTATATCTAGGTTATTTTATCAAACATGTAACCAACAGCAACTAAGCATCATTCATATCAGTTCAAAAGAATAAAAACAGAAAATAAAATGGCAACTGAAACTAAATACCAAGTAAAAAGAAAAAACTAGGCAAAAACTACAACAAGTAAAAACTTTAATGGTAAAAGAAAACTAAAGCCTACAAGAGCTAAGCCTTTTGATGCCTAATGATGAATAAGAATCCATCTAGCTATTAAAGACTATCCTTTTCAACAAAGAACAAGTTCAAACAAAGTAGAATAAGGTTGGAAAATAAAGAACACATTGTTGGAAATTTAAATGGTAGAAATTAAAATTTTAATTGATGAAAATGTAAGTAAACAAAGCTTAAATGGTAAGTAAGGTGCTAGTTCTGGAAAAAAAATCAAAATGGCGTTAAAGAGCAACAAAATAAAATTGAAAGCAACTAAAATGGAGCCATGACATCAAGGCAAAGTCAATATGGTTGTTGCTTGCTCATGGTGTTATACATATGGAATAGAAAATTAAAAATTAAAAAAGACTACAAAGAAAAGAAAAATACAACTCTCTTTCTCTTCTCTTAAAATATCCTATTTAAAGCTTTAGACTAGGTCTTCATTCAACCAATCAAGGGTTCTCTTTGTGCAATTCTCACCCTTCAAATAGCCAGCTAGCTTTCAGGATTTTTTTGCTACTGGTAGAGAGCAAAAAAAACTTGAACTTTGCTAGCTCATTCTTCACCTTGTGTTGCATGTTGAGTTAGGCTAACGAGAAACTTTGATGCCTCCACCTAGGACATATGTTGGCGACTTTGTCCCCTTTTCCAAATAAGGCATTTTTAAGGTTGATTGGCTTTAAAACTATAGTGGATAGTGTGCTGGTAGATTGGTGCTAGTTTGTCCTTTATGCACTTATGCCCCATTGGTTTAGCCCATATGCTTCTTCAATAATTTCCACCAAAAAGCCACATCTTATCCTTGTGATCCTTTAAAATTTCCAAACTCAAGCCCCTCCAATTTTATGTAATCTTGTTGCATAAAGAATTTCAGAAGCTATCTCTTTCTAAGTGGTCCCTATTTGTCTTATACTGCTAATGGTATCCCATTTTGTGTCATGCTTTACCGATTCATTGCTCCAAAATTTGGCTTATTCCATGGCTTGTTAGCTAGCTTTTCTCCTTATTTCTTCTTCGAAAATCAACTTGAAGCTCTTTAATTTAGCTTCCTCATCTTGCAAGTTAGCCTATGCATGAAAGAAACCCCATACATGCACTAGTAATGTAGCTCTCAACTTAGACACTTCTTGGTATGTCTTGGCAACTTCTCAACTTCTTAATGGCTTCATCTTTTCATGGTATACAGCTCACCTCAGCTCTTAATCCTTATTGGCAACTCTTGTAATGCCTTGGCAAAAAATCTTTGCAAGACTCGGCCATTGCTTATTATGAACAAAAAGTGTGGGCATTACATTGGCTTAGATCCTCTAATTTATCTACACATGAGACACTTAGAAAATTAGGTGGATAATTAAATGAATTTTCTAAGAATCAAGTAAAAATTAATGAAGTAAGTCATATAATTAATCAAGTAAGTATATGATAATTCTATAAAAAAAGAATTATCACACCCTAAACTTGATTTTTTTACTTGTCTTCAAGCAAAATCAACTTATAGTGAGTTATTTTCACTTCTTATGATCAATTAGAAATAGTTTCCTAAAAAATTGCATAATGATTATAGCTTAAGACAAATCATAAACGAGGGCTAGTCATGAGAGTCATCATAGAATATGCATTTACTTAAATAAAGTTTCATTTTGTGCAATATTCATTACATATTATTACATGCAATTTAGTGATGAATATGCAACCATGGAATTAACACAAAAAATCAAAGAGCACATACATTCCATATGTTTGCCTTTCACACCTTCCTCCACTAACGTTAGACTAATGCTAAACTAAAAATCTTTAGGTCTTTGCT